CAGTTGCATTGTCAGAACTCAAGAAATAAGGAAGACGTGAATCTCACATGGACATCTACAGGTTTGAAAGCATTGGCCTTCACTTTTCCCGATGCTGGCACCCTTTTTGTTTTGACCAGTCCTCCCGTTTTATCTGGTGGCTTATGAGCAAGTTCGTCTTCATCGTTATTCCCATCGCCATTGACATCAACACCGACATACTCTTCAGTTTCACCGTCATCGGTGTCTCTTGCCATTCTAGAACCAAATCTTTTCCCGCTTTCATAATGAGCGTTTCCAGGCTTTTTTACTTGTGGTATGGGGGTCTTCAAATTTTCGTCGTGTTGCATCAACGTGGAAATCTTGGGATTAGCGCTATTGACACCGTCATTTTCTTCCTTAGTTTCGGTATTGCTTTTCAGCGCATCAATCGTCCGTTCATGCTCCGAGCCTTCAGTGTACGTTTCCAGAATGGCACTGACCGTACTTAATGATTTAGCAGCCTCCTTCTTGACATTCTCTGAAGTCGCATAGACCTCACTCAGGGATGCGTCATTTCTTCGCACAACGTTTCCGTTGAGTTCCTGGCATGCGAACAGCAACATTGCTAATGCAAACTTCATTCGTGGCAATCGGAGTGAAAATGAATGTTAATCGAGATTCTCTCCTTTTATATATGTGATAAACCATATCACGCTTGTCTTGAGTCAGATATCATTTTCAAAAATATCCATGGGAAGGGTCCACAGCCTTTTGCCACCATTCAACAATTAAGGCAGTTGCTACACTTTTCTGATTAGTATAAGACCACATCACTGTCACCAACATTAGCACCTCGTTGTGGGTATTTTTGTTGACGACTGCTTTGGAGTTATAGTGTGTGCCCTAGCCAGCTTCCCTAGGTACCTAAGAGACACTCGTAGCGCATGCCTCTGATGCGCTTCCCTTTCAGGCTATGTTCAAAATTCTTATTTTTCTTTCTGTTGGTTTTGTTGTTCTCTAATCCACCTATTTCACGTTCATCCAATCTTGTTAATAGCCTTTGATGAACTTTTTCATCCGCAGAAGCTAAAGTGTTTTTGACTTATAGGGAATTCGAAAAATAATGACGATGGCGCGACCGCGCACGACACGCATGCACTTCCATTTTTTGCACTTTTTCGCGCTTTTTTGGGCGAAATATGGCGGGTCCTCGAGCTTCGGACAGTTTGTTTTTTGTAAAAGCAGGGTTTTCATCAAGCCTGAGAACCCTGCGGACTGCTGAGCCCGGTTTCCGAGCTAAATTTTGCTCCAGATCTAAGTCGAGGAGATGGTAATCTTGAAGCATGCCAAGCAATGCATTTTCTGTCACATTCGCAAACGCGACTGAACGTTTAGATGGTCCTCAAATCTGTCTTTGTTTCGGTAATTATA